CCCAGGCTGGCCTTGAACTCACAGAGATTCTCCTGGCTCTGCCTCCCAAGTGCTGGGATTAAAGGCATGCGCCACCACCGCCTGGCGCATATTTTAATTAGTGTTTTATAGTTGATATTCTGTATACTAATGGTGAACATTCAGATGTTCATGTTTGTGTGTTCATTGGGTTAGAATGAGGAATGCTCTCATTACTATGGATTCGGTTTTTAAAAATTGAAAGATACTTAATGAAGTATAACCAATGAAAATTTTTAATCATAATTTTTGTTAGAAACTTGTAATTTTTCCTTGCATATTTCCAGTAATAAGCTTCAAAGGGCCTTATTGGCACTTTCAAAAGAAACAGGTGAAATGGCCGTACTTTGGGAGTTTTTAAGCTTTATTTTCCCATCTCTACATTAGTTTTGTTTACTCTTACATTGTTTGGACTCAATTATCATTTTAAGTTGCCACCTTATTTTAAAGGATTAACTATGTGTTGCAAATCCATCTGTGGCCCAAAAGACAGAGAAGAAATTAGGTTAGCAACAAGCAGTGCACTGTACCTTTTTTAAAAGCCCTCGGCTCTTGAGCGCCTGAGACGCTCAGTGTGGGATCACATCGCCCCCCCCCCCCCAGTGTTAGCTGTAGGTCTAGTATCACACTCTACTTCAGATGTAAGAAGAGGACAATGCAAATTCCAAGGTTGACAGCGGAACTGAAAGAAAGACTCTCCAGGGCCAACAGCACACTTATACGAGCTTATGTGATTTAGATCTAATATTTGAAAATGAGTATCTAAGTCTGTATGTGAGGGCTGAGCTTTGCTTTTAAAGTTCATTTCTCTCTCTCTCTCTCTCTCTCTCTCTCTCTCTCTCTCTCTCTCTCTGTGTGTGTGTGTGTGTGTGTGTGTGTGTGTGTGTGTGTGTGTGTAAGTCCATGAGTGTGCATTCAGAAGCCAGGGAGTCAGGTATCTTGCTCCGTCTTTCTTTACCCTACTCCCTTGAGATAGGTTCTCTTACTGAACCTTGGCTAGCCTGCCAGCAAGCTCCTGGGGTCCACCTGTCTCGGGCTCCAGCACTGGAGTCCCAGGCATGTGTGCCATACTCAGCTCTTACACGGAGGGTAAGGACTCTAACTCAGGTCCTTGTGCTTACACACAGTGCTCTTGCCCACTGGGCCCTCTCCCTAGCCAAGCCTGTTTCTAATCTGAAAAGCAAGGCTTTGGAACTGTGCAGACTGTAGATCAGCTATCATCTGCTGTTTTGTAACTTGAAAAAAATCAAACGCAGCACGTGATGGAAAGTCAGCCTCATTTTAGCTCTCATTCTTTGAAAAGCGACAATGGATATTCTTTAGTGGAAGGGAGGGTCCTATCAGTTCAAAGGTAAATTTTATTTGTTTGGATTTTTAAAAAAGATTTATTTAATTTATAAAAATTATGTATGTGTGTGATTGGGTGTAGGTCTGTTCATGAGTCAGTGCCAGTGGGGTCCACAGGAGACTGCAGATCTCTGGAGACACAGGAGACTGTGAGCTTCTAGATATGGGTGCTGGAACTGAACTCCAGTCCTCTGTAAGGGCAGTGTGCGCTCTTAACTGCTGAGCCGTCTTTCTAGCCCTGATTTGCTTGGATTTTGATAGGACCTTAATGATCCCATCTGAAAGTGGTAGTTGACTCGTTTTAGTGAAAAGTACTGCTGATATAAAGTAAGGCTCCAGGGCTGAGGATGGAGCTCAGTGACTAGAGTGCCTGCCTAGCAGGCCCAAAGTCCTGGGTATATATGCCGCAGCACTCCTAAAACCAGACATGGCAGCACAGCCTTTAAACCCAACATACCTTGGGTTTAAGAACAGCCTGGGCCAGTAGAGACTTTGTCTCAAACAAACAAAACACAAACATAAAACAGGACACTAAAAACAACATTGCCTCTACCTTATTTTGATTGGATTTGATACAGTATTTCTTTAGGCCTTTAAACTCAACTCTGATTCTTTTCTGTATTTTGGGTTTTTTTTTTGTTATTGTTGTTGTTATTTGTTTGTTTGTTTTGAGACAGAGTCTATGTAGCCCTCGCTGTCCCAGAACTGGCTGTGTAGACCAGGTTAGCCTTCTACTCACAGAGATCCTCTGCCTCTACCTCCTGATGCTGGGACTAAAGGGGTGCGTCATCACACCTGGCATTCTTTGTAGTTTTTTTTTAATATTAAAGACACTAGTTTGGTTTTTTTTTTGGGGGGGGGCTGTTCATGGAGTAAAGCTCATCTTTTTAAAAATATGTACCCAGGCCAGGAGTAGCAGGCACACACCTTTAATCAAAGCACTCAGAAGGTAGAGGCAGGTAGATCTCTGGGAGAACAAGGCCAGCCTGGTCTACAAAGTGAGTTCCAGGACAGCCAGGGCTACATAGTAAGACCCTGTCTCCAAAACAAACAACAACAACAACACCCACAAAAATATGTACCCAGAAAAACTTTAAGTAAAATTTAGTAACCACATTTCTTTCTTTTAGTTTTCTATACTATTTCATAGAAAATGAGATGTTCACAGCTTTGTTAGTCTACTGGCCTGTTGACATAATCACACTTGTTATAATCATGTCTGATGTAATACCCTGACCAATGCTTCTTAGAGTTACTGAAAGAATCTTTGTCTCCTTTGTCGCTTCATCATGTATGTGTGCACGTGTTCAATGTATCACCATTGAGACAGAACATGATGATACACGACTGTATTTGGTAAAGCTGAAACAAGAGGAAGAAGAGAGAGAGGCCAGCCTGGGCTACAGAACATGTTGTAAGCCAGCCTGGACAATAGCGAGATCCTGTCAAACAGAAAAACAAAATAGTGAAACCTGAGGTCCATCACCTGTTTAAAGTATTTCCCCCAGCATCTTATACCTCAAAATCTGAATTTGTCTTTGGTCAGAACTGTAGCCCAATGCCGAAGTTTGCTGTAAGGAAAGGAGCATTGCAGTTCATGCCTAGCTGACTCCAT